CCTGGAGGAGGACATCCAGCGCTTGAAGGAGCGCTTCGAGGACGAGGCGCGCCTCCACGAGGATGCCGACGCCATCACCCGAGCCCTGCGGAAGGACATGGAGGAAGCGTCCATGGTGAAGGTCGAGCTGGACAAGAAGGTGCAGTCTCTGCTGGACGAGGTGGCCTTCCTGCGCAACAACCATGAGGAAGAGGTGGCCGATCTGCTGGCCCAGATCCAGGCCTCGCACGTCTCCGTCGAGCGCAAGGACTACCTGAAGACCGACCTCTCGGCCGCCCTCAAGGAGATCCGCTCCCAACTCGAGTGCCACTCCGACCAGAACATGGTCCAGGCCGAGGAATGGTTCAAGTGCCGTTACGCCAAGCTCACCGAGGCTGCCGAGCACAACAAGGAAGCCATCCGCTCCGCCAAGGAAGAGATCTCCGAGTACCGGCGGCAGCTCCAGGCCAAGAGCATCGAGTTGGAGTCCGTCCGCGGCACGAAGGAGTCCCTGGAGCGCCAGCTGAATGACTTTGAGGAACGCCACAACCAGGATCTCTCCACTTACCACGTAAGTACGGGGCTCGGATAGATGATCTTGGGGGGGACTCTTCCTGGATCGGGTTCTTTATAGAGTTTGTAGACAGCTGGAAACTACCACAGCGGGGGAGGGGTGGAATGAAAGAGGAGGGGCCTCCTATTCATGGATAGATGAAGATTAAATCAAAGGGGGTGTGGCAGGGTAGAACAGGGAAATGACAAAGCATTTCCCAGGTCTCTACACCAACTGGGGAAGAAAGACCCCATCCTGTCTAAGTTAAAACTAATATGATATAGGAGAGGTCAATGGGGGGGGGGGATGACGAAGTACCAGTGGACCCACCTCCATGAGAAAGAAGTTAGGGGGGGTGTTCAGCTTTAACATTAGGGCTGTGGGGGGGTGGAACTAGGGTAGGAAGAGGCCCACTGTCAAATGGGGATTTTGCCAGCTTTCAGACATAATGGAACTGAGAGGGGCAGGCAAGGAAGGGAAGGGAAAGCTCTCTCCCTCCCTCATTAGCTCAACCATCCCTACTAAATAGGAGAGCATTTGTGACGTCCCTGCCAGTTCGAGTCGAAGTGGAATTCATAAGTTATAGCTCCAGGGAAAAATCCATTTATAAAATGGGAGTGACTACACAAAATTTCTCTTTAGTTCTCTTTTGGGAATAGATCCCCTGTCACAACACTTCTGTGAGATGCCTCTTGCTTTTCCATTCTTCCGGGCTTCCTTCCAATGTCTTTTTTTTTTTTTTGGCAGTTTCCACCAATAGGAAGTGTGCATGTGCCAGCCCAAGAATTTCTGCCAGTGGCGCAGAGAAAGGAGACCTTGCACAGCTTCTTGAGGGATGCCACAAAAGGGAGGGGGAAATGGAGCAAGGAGGAAGAAGACATTCTTATATTATGTAGAACATGACCTCAAGAGATGCTCTTCCTGTAACTGAGAATGGGGCTGTTGGAACTGGAAATAATGGCACTTCAAAATGCATGACAAAAATAAGGTCCTTTTTTTAAAAAAAAAGTCATACTTTTATTTCAGGCCATCCAAAAATGCACAAATTGGGAAGAATATCAGCAAGTGATCTCCATCAAATGGAATTCACACTGGATCAGAAGATGCTTGAGGGAGAGAACTTGGGATGGAAAGAAATGCAATTTGGGGGGGTTTCCTCTCTCAAAATGCAGCTGCTAAAAAGGGATTGGCAAACAAAAATTGGTCCTGGACAGAGTTCCAGCAACCCATTTCCAACTGCTATTATTATTAGAGAAAGCTGTGGCTTCAAAGTTAATTCAAGTTCTGATTTCTTTCTCAGGGTTACTAATATAGACCCAAGAAAACCCCACAGGATCAGTTTTAAAAAGGCAAAATAGGAGAGATTCACTATACAAAAGGAATAAATTGGAACATTTTAATAAATGTTCAGTGGATTTCCTTAATTACTAATTAGCTTAATCAAACCTGCCTCTTCAACAGCATCCAAAAAATGGACGGGGAGGGGAGCACTTGTGAATGATGTTCTTTTGAGTTGGCAGCACTGATAAATATTTCAAGTTTTATGCTTGAGCATCAAATATGATTCTGTGTCTGAATTGCAAAGCATGGGTTGTAAGCCATGTCCTATAAGTAGGTTTTTTTTTATAACTCCATTAACTGTTTTAAAGCAAGGAAGAGTTGAAATAAGCAACAAATCAGGAATGTTCTATTCTTGCATTTATTNTTCCTTTCCTGCATCTTCTATTTTATCTTTATATTCTTATACCTTTTAAAATTTGTATTAATTTTTACTATTGTAATTATAATCTTTAATCTTTATTTACTATTTATTTAGCTCCACTTTATATTCTTATACCTTTTAAAATTTGTATTAATTTTTACTATTGTAATTATAATCTTTAATATTTATTTAATATTTATTTAGCTCTACTTTATATTCTTATACCTTTTAAAATTTGTATTAGTTTTTACTATTGTAATTATAATCTTTAATCTTTATTTAATATTTATTTAGCTTCACTTTATATTCTTATACCTTTTAAATTTTGTATTAATTTTTACTATTGTAATTATAATCTTTAATCTTTATTTAATATTTATTTAGCTCCACTTTTTTCAACTTGGCAGTCCCCAGGTCTGTTACTATACACTGACTGCAAAACCAGTCAAACAAATTTAGAAAACAGCAACAATCAAACCACCTCTTTTTTTATATAACTATAATGTGCTTCTTCCTTGGTGGGGTCTGGAGAATGTACTGCAATGACCGATACAATATTATTATACTAGACAGTATAATAGTGGAGATATTTATTTTCAAATATTAAAGTAGCATGTGATTACATATGTGTATCATAATGAGGAGGGAATGAGGATTTTGCAGTATCCTTCCCCTCCCACGCCCACCAAGCCACACCCACAGAACTGGTAGTAAAAAAAAAGAATTTCACCTACAATCATGGGCATTATCCCTTCTTTGATTCTTATATGGTCAAATAATTGAGGTGCACCTTGACAGAAATACATAATCTTGCCAATATTCTAAGTTGATATGGGTAATGACTGCAAGATTAATGTTGCAATCCCTTCCATAGCAAGTCTTGAGGTAGCATGAAGGAGTTGAAGAAACAACTCAACCACATGAATATTGGAAAACAATTATGTAGACGTTTGAGTTGACTAATTCAAAGGATGAGGGAAATTTTGAAATGTTGCTTTTTTGTGTGGACCTATTCGAGTTCTCAAAGAAATCTATATATGATCCTTAATGGCCTTGTACACAAAATTCTACACTTTAGGAATTTTGAAGCTCCATCCAAATAAAAATAGTTTATTTTTTAAGAAAAATGTGCACAAAGGTAGCATATTTTAGGAAAATTCTTTTTCCTCATCATTGTGCAATGAAAAATGACCATATTACCTGGCGAATCATTGGAATTGTATTCTAATACATCCAGAGGTTGAGTAAAGTTATTATAAGAAAATGGGAATATGAAACCAAGATGGCTTCTTCTAGAACAATAGATTGGATCCATTTTAACAGCTCAAATAGATCCTTCTGAGTTAAGTGAGTTTATTTTCAGGATGTGAGTCTGCAGAATTATTCATGGTTAAAATAGCTCCGTAGAAATCAATGTGACTTGATCATGATTAACTTTCATCTTATTAAGTTCAGCAGCCTTCCTTCAAATAATATTTTATTAAACACAGTTGAAGTAATAGTCCACTATAAAATATTCTCAAACTTTGGAGAGGAATTTTCTGCAAACCTGCATAGTTTTTAAAAGTCCCATTGTAGTCAATGGAATATCTGCAGCTTGATTGTATGCAGAAGGAGAGAGAGAGATAAGATGAAAAAGAATGGAATTAAAAGTTAAAAGTTAAAAGATATGTGAACACTAATTACCAATTTATTTATTATGACTTTATTTTAATTTACACATCACCTTCATTGAAATGTAAGAACTGGAAATATTTGTCCATTCAGATACCAGAATTCTTGAGAATTAAATCCTTGGAAATGAATGTCTGATTATTATTTTTTTCCATTGAACAGTTCAGTTGCACACACATTCCCCTTTACTAATAAAGCATAATTCACTTACTTGGAAGCAGCTTTATTGCTTTCAGTAACATCACTGAGAAGAAGGAATAATAGAAATAGCAGGCAGTGTTACTTTCAAAGAATGTGTTGTTTTTTAAAAAAAGAGAGATGGAATGCCAGAATATTTGCGTTGAAATCATTAGACAAGAAAAGGCTTCAGATATTAAATAAAACCATGTTAGATAAGTATTATTTAATGAATAAGATATATAGATGCTGAGGAATTCATACCTCACACTAATTAATGAAAAAAGAAAATCTTATAATATTGCTTTCTATAATCTACTATTAAGGTTCCACCTTTTTTTTGCTATACAATGCTGATTCTGCATTTTTAGACTAACTACTATTCAGCATAACAATCCATTGTTCAAAATCATGACAGTTTTTAATTACCTAAAACAACTTAAACCTAATCATAAAACTAATTGCAACATTTTAAATAAAAGGTGCATTTATTTACCAGTAAATCAAAAATATTATGCTTTATGCCATTTTGAATTAATATTATAAGCTCAGGAAGCCTACAATCCACACTCACTGGGGGAAGGGGGATTATTAATATGAAAATTACATCTACTTCTGAATATTCTAGTATTATTGTATAGTATATAGTATTATAAATAGTAAACATCTGGTATTATTGTTGCCTTAAATGAGGTTTGATGACGATGGTGATTTTAATAAGAACTTTGCCTTAACAAAAAATCCATACTCATACATTGTGTTTAGAACTAAGTGGAACTTAATGCTATAATAAATATGCATATAGCACCCGTCCTATCCCAAAGAATGTGTGCTTACACCAGAGTAAATAGCACCAGTTTTAATGGGATGGGATTGCAAGCTGAGGCAGCATTATGCTCGATCTTCTGTGTCGTGCAAAGCAGAGACAGAAATAGAAAGAGAGAAAAGCAAGTTAAAGAGTTAGGTTTTCCCACTTGGTGCTAGAACACGACATTCTTCTGCCTAGAGCAAAATTCAAATTATCAGAGACAGTTCTTTGCTTTACACATTTAGGTTAACACTTTGAGAAATCTTGCTACATCTCCCTGGCATTCACATTTTTGTCTTTGATCGCTCTTCTTCATAACCTTAGGGAGGTGGTTTTCTCCTGCTGTATTGCAGGAGGAAGCAATGCACTTCAAGAGAAGCTGGAAAAGGTGAGGAACCTTGAATGAATGTGAAAGGCTGGATGCTTTTTTTTAAAAAAAATAATTTATGCTGGTCACACACAGTAGGGAGATTAAGCCAGAAGTTTAAACATGCAGATGTATCTCAAAAAACCTCCCAGTGTCTCCTGCCCCAGTTTTCCTTTCACAAAGACTGCAGTGCTGCAGTTCGATGGCAACACCATACTTATGAGCCAACAAGGGCCTGATGTCTTTGCCCATGGCTTTCAAAGTTGTCTCTTGCTCTTCCAACCCTGGAT